AGGAAGTGCTAATGTCTTGCCTAATCTACTGTTAGAGGGGTGGGCTCTGTTTTCCAGCTATACACAGTTGTTTAAACTACACAAGCTCCATGAAAATCCTATATTTATAGGTGATATTTTTCTGTCTTATGGACAGAAGGTCCTTAATTTTTGATAGATTCTAGGAAGTTCAGTGTCCCCCAGAACATCATGATCACTGTACACAGCCAAGTACTAATTACACATAGGCAGAATTTAGTGCCAACCTACTTAATGTGCAGCATGAATCCTACTTGATCTTAATAAAAATCTGGAGCCAGATATTGGGCTAAATGCTGAAAGCTCAGAGAAGCAAAGCAGTTCTTACCTCTACGAAATTCTCAGCCTGAAAGGGACCTGAGCTCCTGTCTCCTCCCACCTTATAGTCCTCTCTCTGCCCAGCCATATCACTTCCTGTTTCCTCCTCCCAAGTGCTGGGATTAAAGGCATGTGCCACCATTGCCTGGCCTCTATGGCTAACTAGTGGCTGGTTTTGCCCTCTGATCCTCAGGTAAGCTTTATTTGTTAGAGCATACACAAAATACATCACCACAAACATGCTTAATGAGAACTTAGTATTTAAAAGTGATGTGACAGAAGAAATTACTTTCAACATTCCTGGTTTTTTCCTTGATATCCTAGCATCAAGCACCAAAGAACTTAACAGTAACTAAAAATAAATTATGTCCTTGCAACAAAGCATCTCAATTGAAACAAGACTAAACAACTATATACTTGACTTCTCTCTCTCTCTCTCTCTCTCTCTCTCTCTCTCTCTCTCTCTCTCTCTCAATATCCTAAAGCCAATTAAAAAGAAAGGAAAATAGGTCTTTTCTTCATAGATTTCTCATAAAATTTGCCACTCCATCAGAAAACTTACGTTAACTTTTTACAGTTACTATCAATGAATTCAAATTACTCAATTACTAAAAATTCTAAATCTGGTTTCAACAGAAATGAAAAAATCTAAGATTGGGAGCTTGAGATGTGATCCAAAGGCTCCTGGGATGGCAGTGGAGGAGCCCCCAGGTGTTTGAGGCACAGAGCTTCGGGAACCACACCCTCCCGCTAAAAGAGGTTGTTGCCCCACACTACATAAGGATATATACAAGGCCCCGCAACTACAATCAGACAAATGCACTTATTGAGGGAGATATGCTTTCATGGAAGAGATTTGAGAATTTTATATAAACCAAAGCATTCTGATTTTCAAAAATTGTACTATGAGGAGAAATTATGAATACATAAATAAAGGCCAAAATAATAAAATACAACTGAAATACTAAATTCAATCCTGGAGACCAAGCTCTACGATGAGTGCTGTCAAATACAGACTGCCTAGGAAGGTAAGAAGACTGAACAAGGCCCTTTTCGAAGAAATGATTAAAGATTCCGAGGTATTTAAGAGGGGAAAAACCGAGAGTCGTTCCATGTGGTTTTGAAGGCCCAAGGCTAGTGTAACCATGCTTCTGGTCAGACATTTGTATGTTTCTCTCAAGCACAGAGCGGGAACCGGCGGGAAGCACTGGCAGGCAGGCTTAGCATCTCTGTGAACCCAGCAGCAGAACCCTCCCTCCCTCCTCCTGAGGAGCCAGGGGCCCTCTCTGACCTCGGGGAGGAACTGCAGCCAGATGACTGAGCTATCAGTCCTTACAGCAGTGGCTTTCCATGCACTAAGTCAACTAACTTCCTTCTGAACACACATGCTTACACACATGCTTACACATTGCTTAAACACCGTAAGCACTCTGCACAACTCAAAGCCATGTGGTTCTATGAGTGTCTGTGACTGCTCTATTCAGACTGTAAAATGTTGTTCACCTGAAGAACAACCTCTCTGCTACTGGGACTGAACCACACTTGACCATGTGTCACTGTGGATACAGGATGTCAGTCACTTGCAAATTAGCACAGCATGACAAGGTGCCCAGAACCTTCTCTTACACATGCACGCTCAGTCCTAAGCTCTGCTCTAAGTTGCAGGGGTGGGGCTGAGTATGGAATGTTCCTTTACACTGTGTGACTATAAAGAAACTGACGGGCCAATAGCTGGACGGGTAGAGGTTAGGCGGGACTTGCAGACAAAAAGAGAGCACGAGGAGGAAGGGGAGGAGTCTCAGAATCTCGAGCAGACATGCAGAGAAGGAGATGAACTGGCCGTACTGAACACGTGGCAGGGCATAGGTAAGAAATATGGGTCAGGGGTTGGGGATGTAGCTCAGTGGCAGAGCGCTTGCCTAGCAAGCACAAGGCCCTGGGTTCGATCCTCAGCTCAAAAAAAAAAAAAAGAGAGAAATATGGGTCGATTTAAAATGTAAGAGTTAACGAGTAACAAGCCTGAGCTATCGGCCAAGCACTTATAATTAATAATAAGTCTCAGTGTGGTTATTTAGGGACTGGCTGGCAGGACAGAAAAGTCTGCCTACAGCTGAGGCAGAGAGCTGGTGGAGAGAAAAGAGGCCTTAACTCCAGAGTCCATGTCCCTAGCCATCACACTGTGTTAATATTGGCAGGGCCTGGCAGACACAGAGGCCCAGAGCAGCACATCTGGTCAACAGTCCTGGAATAAGACAAGAAGATGAAAACTGTTGGAGAACTGTCAAAACATGTTTCAAAACACTAGAAAGCTTTCTGGCCCCACAGTATTTCCTCAAGTATTGACCTAAGCTGACCAGGCCTGGCAGTTCATTACAGATATACTGTAAGGCTGCATCAGCCTTAGGAAGGTTTTATACTGGAAATCAAAATACCCTTTAGAGGCTCAACATCATAAACCTTAGCAGAGGAGAAAGGAATCAGAGTAGGTACGGTATGCAGAGGGGGAGGGGTCGGCAAAGTGAAGGTGCTGGGTCAAGAAATGGAAGGCACTGGCAGAATTCCATTCTAAATTAGACATGGAGTAGAGAATTAGCTCCCGGCTCAGGTTGAGGAGTCAGTTCTTCCTCTATGGCGACCCTCCCTTCTTTGCCCACTCACTTTGTTCTTTACTCTCACTCCTCCCCTACATTGTCTTCCTTTACTTTCCTTTATCTTCTCAGCTGATCCTGTATTTCTCTCTCATCTGCTCCAGCCGGTCAGGAGGTGTAACTGAATGGCAAGTACATAATGGCCTGTGTCACAAGTCACAGAGGGTGGACGCTGCTGCCAATGATATCAATGAAGATTGGCAATGTGAGAGGTATGATAAACTACAGGAGGTATAGTGATGCATAAGATCAAATCTTCACTCCAGGGGGCCTGTAGTGACAGAACAGATACAGCACACACAAAGAAAACCAGAATATATTATGATGGTTATTTTGATGTTCAGCTTGGCTAAGGGGTTGTGCCCTGTTTAAGTACCAGATGTTGCTGTGAAGGCATTTGCAGTTGTGATGGGCACTCAAGACCTGCTGCCTTTCAGAAAGTAGTTTATTGTCTATAATGTGAGTAAGACTCATTCAACCAGTCATTAGGTCCCCCAAGTAGGAGGAGTCCTGCTTCCAGACTACAAGGAACCTGCTGTGGATTTGGAACTCAGGACTCCAATATCAGTGTCTACCTCAATTGCCAGCCTGTTAACCTGCCTTACAGATATCCTGGCCACTCCAGTCAGAGCCAACATGCTCTGTTTCTTAATCTCTCTCTCTCCCTCACCACACCTCTCTCCCATCAGTTTTGTGGAGAGCCCTGCCCAATGATATACTAGTAAATAGGGGCAAGGTCAATCATACTGACAAGTGATGGGGTTCAATGATTGACAGCAACTTTCCCCATTCTTCACAATCAGACAGGCTGTTTTCAAACCTCCCAAGTATCATACACGTAACTGATGCTTACTTACCAAGCCAGTGATTTCAGTTAGGTAAATTTTTTTTCCTCATTGTGGAGATAGGGTCTCCCTATGTAGCTGTCTGGTCCTGAACTTGTAATTCACAGCCTCCTAAGCACTGCAATTACACCTGGCTTATTTAATAAATGCTCCTCTATTATAAATTGAAGAATTTATTCTTTTCTCTTGCTTTGACTCCCCATACCATACTATTACCATGAGTCCATAAAAACCTTTGTTACAAAAATCAGTCAACTAGAAGCCACATGGCTTTCCTTTCCTGGTAAAGTGTCTTCACTTGGACATCATGTACAGTTCAAAGTTTCTGTATGTTTCTTTATCTGCAAAGGTTAATTGCAATTCAGATGTTTTCCATTTTCGATTTAAGGTTGTCATGGAGTTTTCCTTCTCCTTTAAAACACTTGGCAGTGAAGACATTGCCTTAAATCATCTTCTCCAGCTAACAGTATAGAGGCACAGTCATCTCTGACTTACAGGAAATGTGTGTTAAAAGAGACATGTCATACTGTCCTCTATTTTGGTGCATGAAACACAGTAAACAACAGGTGTTGATTTTCACTGATAGATGAGACATTCAATTGGTCTCTTTATACTTCTACCATCATTATGTTTAATCTATACTTGTCCAAAACTTGGTGCAACTTGACTTTTTAATTTCTCTGTAGTAAATGAGTAATAAACATAAAGTCTAAATGACTCATTTCTACCATTCTACAGAGTCAAGACTGATCAATGGGACACACCCATCAGAACAGGGTGGAACCCTGCAGCAAGCACTGGATATGCTTATATCCCAAGAAAGAGAACTCCTTAATAAGTCAAAGCACCTGCAGCAGAGCCCAGCTCAGACACAAAGCAGACAGAGTATCACAACAAATGCAAGTTAAAGGAAAGATCTAGAAAGGGAATGGAAAACATAATGTACACAGTGTCTGTGTTGGCCAAAGCCTCTTCCTCGCCCAGGAACATAAAGTTCTCAATAAGACATTTATAAGAAAACAAATGCAAGTCATCACAGGATTACTTGGTAATGTTTTAGATATAAAATTTCACCTTTATCAACTAATAGCCACGGATCCCATTCAAGCATGCAACTATCAGGGCACACAACATGCAGCATGCAATAAATGGGACAGCAGAGGTTAATAACCTGGAAGCATAGGATCTGAGAATGTGAGAGCAAGTTAAAGACAAGAGTTCCTCTCCATTGTCACTGAGGGTCGAGAAGCAATGCTGAAGCGTGGAAGAGTGAGAGTGGGGGAAATACAGTCTGTCCAGCACATAGACATATCTCCGCAAGTGGCGGCAGGTATAACTGAAAGACAAAGGCACAAGGAGAGAAACAGAAGAGAGGCGTTTTCCTTTGAAAAAACAACTCATCCCTGCCTTCACTAGGCCATGGTGGCAGCTGAATGGGGCTACTGTTAAAAGAACAAAAACAAGAAAACAAACAACTAGAGTAAAGATGAGCAAAGATCTGCCCAAACACCTCAGGAGAGATACACACAGATGGCAAATGAGCACACACGTGGTACTCTGTACTGTACGGCATTATGAAAGTGCAAGCAATGAGGCATCACTACAGACTCAGCAGAATAACTAATATCCATCGGATGACACCACATACTGGGAATAACAGAGAGCAACAGGAACTCTCACTCTGGTTGAAGGACATCCAAAATGGCACAGCCAATTTAGAAAACAACTGGGCAGTTTCTTACAAAACCAGACATCATGTTCCTTGAAATTTGCCCAAAGGCATTGAAAACTTATGTAAATATGAAATTGTGCACATGCATGTTATTTATAGTACCTTTATTCATACTTGTAAAATCTTGGCATCAAGTAAGGTATCTTTCCACTGGCAACTACATAAACTGGGGTATATTCACACAATGGAATATTTGGTGAAGCTAATCCATAGGTATATATGCTATGGTCTCAGGTGGCCTTCTGGGAAGGGCAAAACTACAGAGTCAACATGAAGATCACAGTTGTGAGAGGATGTAGGGAAGGCAATGTTAAATAGGGAAAGCAGTGAGAATTTTTGGGACAATGGGAGTATTTTATCTCATGATCACCATGAATACTGTCCATTATAAATTTGCCCAAATCCAAATAATCTTAACCCTAGTGTAAATACACAGGCTTTGGTGTGTGTCAGCACAGGTTCATGAGCTGTATCAAATGTTCCACTCTGCAACAGCATGTAGACAGCAGAGATTGAAGGGACAGGAGCAGTAAGGGATATTATGAGGGACTCTGTGACTCAGGCACTAAGGAACAAAACCTCAAGAGAATAAAAACATTTGCTTTTTAAAAACATACTTTTATTTTTATTTTATACTGACATTATCACCAAGAATGGGACGCGCAAACGTCATGTGTCCCCTGTGGCAATCAGAGCACAGTTGGAGTCTAACCCTGAGGGATCACACAAGACCAAAAGGACAGGCGTTCTATCTGGTTTAAAGGTCACTATCCTTTAACTTTTGAAGGGCTGTTTCTGAATAAAGAACACAAAAGAGGCCCGCTAACTCTAACATGTGACTCCAGTCTTGGATCCCATACTGTGGGGCAAGGAGAATTAAAAAAAAAAAAATTTAGATTTATTTATTTATGGATATGAGTGTTTTGCCTGAATGTACGTATGTACATCCGTGTGTATGCCTGGTACATCAACAGAGGGCATCAGATCCCCTGGAACTGGAGTTACAGCTGGTTGTGAGCTACCATGTGGGTGCTGGGAATCGAACCCAGGTCTTCAGAGAGCAACAAGTGCTCTAAGTCCTGAGCCAGCTCTCCAGCTCCTTTGAAAAATCTTTGTTTTTTAATTTTTAGATTTTTTTAAAAGGAAGAATCAGAGAGAAAATGAAAAAATTTAAATACTACCACATAATACAGGTGTGTCTGTCTATATATATATGCACATATATACATATATATTAAGTTTAAATTTCTTTTTTCTGTTTGCTTATTTATTTATTTACTTATTTATTTACTTATTTATTTTTTTAGGCAGAGTCTCGCTGCATAGCCCTGGCTGTCCTAAAACTCACTATGTAAACCAGGGTGTCCCCAAACTCAAAGAGACCTGCCTGCCTCTGCTTCCCAAATACTGGGATATAACGGTGTGTGCCACCATGTCTGGCGATGTTAAATTTTTTATTTTGAGAATGTTGTTACTTTTAAGACATTATATTCCTAAATCCTCAGTGGTAAAGATGTACCATGTTGGTAAATGCCTTCCAGACACAACAGGACTGATGTGGTATGCACAAGACCTGCCCAGGTTCCACCCAGACAGAATCCCAGCACTGAGATGGGAATGTGGACACAAAGCCCCACCCCTAACCGAGACACTGTTTACAACTGATCCCTGCTGGGAGAGGGAAAATTAATTTCCTCCAATGGACTGTCACTGGGCATATCAACTGTACTCCAGGGCAGGCCTCGTGCCCAGGAGCAGTTGGCCAGTACAAAACAGACTCCATGTTTTTCCGGTGGGCTTTTTGTTTCATCAAACATTTCCAAATGAGAGATAGACATAATGATGAAAAAAGAGGTTAAATTTTAATACTTGTAGAATCTGGGTAAAATCTGAATGAAAAGTATTTGTTTAAATTTTGTAATGTTTTATAAGTCCAATTTCGAGATTAAAAAGTCTTAGAAAAGAAAATGAACAGCAAGACATTAAAAAAATGAATGCATTTTTAATTAAAAAAGGAAGCAGAACTATCACAAACTGAGTGCCGCATGCTGCAGATTTTGGGGTTCACATCTAGAGTCAGCATGTCAGTCTGACCTCCATATTTAAGTGTTGGAAACCAGAGAAACTACAGTGTGGGAAATAGCAAATGTGGTCTGGAATCAGCCCATAAAAAAACAGGCACTGCTGCTTAATATTACACTTTCATAAAAAAAATCTCCTAGTGCCTTCTTATAGGAAATGTCCCAGATTATGCAATGTACAGTTCTGACATGTTGCTTGATACCATTACTCTTCCCAAATGTTCTGTCCTAGAACAACATTCGAGTTGCAAAGCTTGCCAAAAACCACACACACAAAAAGTAAGGTTTGAAGAGAACTCTACAGTTAAGTCTTCTAGCAATGTATTTTACTGTACTTTGACAATAAAATTGCAAAGTTTTCATGGCAACTTTTTACTAGGTTATTTTCTTACTTATTCACATGCTTGCAGAGCTTTCAAAGAAAAATGACATTCCCAAGGCAGACTGAACTTCGAATACTCTCCTTTCCCTTTAAGTCCACCCTTCCTTCCTCCCCCTCTTCTTCCATTCCTGTGTTCTCTCTCTCCCGTTTTTCAAGAAAGTTTAACAAATCCACTAACACACACACAGAATATTTTGACAATGACATTATTATGAGAAAAGAAAATTACATGCCAATATTCTTGATGAACAAATGCAAAAACCCCCAATAAAATACTAACAATAGAATTTAATAGTATGCTAAAGAAATAATCCACCTCCATAAAATCTCTAAGATGCAAGGATGGCTTGACATATATAAATCAAGAAACATGCTACATTGCATCACAGAATTGAAGGACAAACGCACCCAGTTGCCTTATTACACGTGGAAAAAACATCAGAAAATATTCTTTTCAGATTTAAAACAAAACAAACAAAAAGAGCCAGTAGTAGTGGTGGCACATGCCTTTAATTCTGGCGTTCAGGAGGCAGAGGCAGGTGGATCTCTTTGAGTTCAAGGCAAACCTGGTCTACAAAGTGAGTTCCAGGACAGCCAGAACTGTTATACAGAGAAACCCTGTCTCAAAAAACAAACAACAAACAAAAGACAACAAACAAACAAAAACCCTCATTAAATTAGGTATAGAGGGAATGGAATGTACTTCAACACAATAAAGGGAACCCAGTGCTAACAATATACTTTAAGGAAAACCAGAAGTTAGCAAAAGTAAGGACATCCAATCTCAGCATTTCTATTCAACAGAATATTAGGAATCCTTGCCAAAACAATTAGGCAAGACACAAAAAATAAGTAAAAGATACGCTATAGCTTCTAAATACAACATCTGCATATGCTGTGGTTTCTCTTCACATCTAAAATTTTATCACCAGTTGTAGGCAGAGTTTCTCTGTGTCCTGGCAGCTGCTCCAAATAACTATTCGGAGACTTATTATTAATTATAAATGCTCGGCCAATAGCTCAGGGGGGTTACTGGCTAACTTACATTTTAAATTAACACATATTTCTTATCTACCCTCTGCCACGTGGTGGTACTTTCTTTCAACATGGCACATTCATCCTGCATCTCTTAAGACTCCTCAGACTCCATCTTCCCAGCATTCTCTCTGCCTAGCCATTGGCCAATCAGCTTTTTATTACCAATGAGAGCAATACATATTTACAGTGTACGAAGACTGTTCCACAGCAACCATTTACTATCATGTCCACAAAAAGAAAGCATCCCATTGAAGACTGTTTCTAAACCTAACAGCCACAACAGACAACACAAAGAGACCTCCAGCAGGCAAAGATGGACTAAGACAATATGATTAATTACTCAGCAAGTAATTGAAATGCATTTACTACACATAAAGATCTAAGAATTCATAATAAAATCAAACAAACATGGTTAATTGCAAATAAAAATGTACTGATTAGTTTCAGAGGTAAGAAAGGAACCAGTACCTGTTTCTGAAAATTAAATATTGAATATTAATAAAAAGAACCAAGCACTAATCCTAGCTATCCAACTTAACAGTGCTGTTGGGGAAAATAATTCTACCTTAGAAATTAAGTACTTAGTATTATATGTAAGGAAGTCACTTGACAGCCTGAAACAACTAATTCAGTCAAAGAGCGTTAAGTAGATAAGGCATTAATTACATGAAAAAATGAAGGTAGAATTCAGAATAAAGGGCTTGACTATCATCGTGGGTACCCGCTGATAAATCTCATCAAGTCCAAGATAATTCGGATGTACTTACAGTATGATAAAATAGGGATACTTGTTACCTTATTTGCCAACAAAACTTGCATCTGAATATTGGTCTCCTGGAGTTAATTTTCAGTTCACAAGAGAGATGAAGGGGTATCAAAGATAGAGGAAGCAAGGACACAAACAGAACAGAGTCTGTAAGACAAGCAAGTTGTTAACTAGTGAAGAGATGGGAGATAAAGAAGGCAGAAAAGGCTCGGGAAACAGCTGAATAGCAAAGTGCTTATTTCTCAAGCACCAGGACCTCATCTCATGGTGACACATGCTTGTAAACTCAGTAGGGAACAGTACAGACAGGAGGACCCACGGGGCTCACGAGCCAGCC